TATAAGTTCATTTTGAGTATAAGCTAACAATTTCGAAAATTTTATTGAGTCAATGTTTTCACACATTTAATTGCATAATTTTCAACAAATTAATATACGCGCGGTGATACGACACATGTCTGGACCCGCCTTAACAGACAGATCGCCAAAGACCCGGGTAAAGTCATGGTGGAAAAAGAAAGGTGAGTCAAGGCGCAGCGTAATTTCACCGACCAATAGTAAGCTGCCAGCATGTCAGCCATTACTGCGGGGGAACCAGCAGATATTCAAAATAATAGAATGAATAAAATGCATTTTCTTGCATAAAGAAGTGGCCGTTTATTTATTTTTTCGTGAACAATCAAATTAGGATGCATTTTTATTTCTAAACAAAATATAAGTCACTGAAAAATATTTTATTATGACATATTTTATTATGACAAGTTTCCTAACCTTTTCACATTAATATTCGTTTAGTTCTGTATTGCAGAAGTTCTTTACCGTGCCAAACTTCCATATCAAAATAACAAATTAAAAATTAAATTACCTGTTGAAAAAGTCATCGGAGAAACTATCTGAATGAATAAATATATCTTTTTAGAAGATTTTGGCAACTCTCAGATTACAGTCATGTATTATTATATGTATATAATACATATATGACACCATGTATACCATGGTATATGTACATGACCAAGACCAAAGTATGTGTTTGTAAAACAAGATGGCTGATTTGATGAGTTGCGCAAAGCGAACGAAAATTGCAGGTCGCGCTGACTTCACCTTTTCTTTTTCCACCATGGGTAAAGTCGAAACCACTGTACACTATTACCGACAGCTTTGTCCCTATTAGGTGCGAGTCTGGACTAAATACATCCGATTTTATCGACAGAATTGCCTACATTTAGTCTGGACTCGCACCAAAAGGCAAAATTTGTCGGTAAAATGGAATATATCGGCACTAGGAATGTCGGTGCCAGCGGTCGCCACGGTCGCGCGAACATCTGAATCTGATCGGCTGTCAAACGAACTCCCCCCTGGCCCCTCGTTCCCGTGGGCCGTGCGTCGCATCTGTTCGGCAGGATCCGCGAAGACACGAGCGGGATCGGGTGTGAGCGAGGTGGAGATATGAACGGCGGGGACGTACGCTCGTGATCGTCGTGGCCTCGCACAGCTTCAAGATGCGCGCGAGGAGGTAGTATCGGCGAGAATGAACACGAACATGAATTCGCCGTCGAAGCTGACGGAGTTCGCTCCGTTGAGCCCCGAGGAGAGTCAGCCCGTCGTAGCGTCGCTCTTCTCCAAGTTCTTCAGTTTCACTCGGAGTTCGTATCCTTACGTTATCCTACGCGCGTATGCATAGTTCATCAGCGCGTTATCGCTGTATCAATGTATGCTATTGCGATAAAAGGCCGCGTCTTTATTGCGGTGCTTTCGCCGAGGCTTGTTAAGCCGACGCTGTTGTAACGACAAAAGGGCAGCGCCTCTGAAACAATTTCTGATTGTGGCGATCAACATTTCAGACAGCGCCAACGATTCCACGGTGTCCTCCAACAACGACGAGCGCAGCTCGTCGGACTCGGAGTCCTGGAAGCAGTCGGAGAGCACGGAGCAGACCCCGGACGACGACAGCAGCAGTATAATAAATTTCCCGCTGGACACCAGCGAGGGCCGTAGCTTGCCAAACGTTTTGAAACGCATCAGTAACATCGTAGCGTTGAGAAGTAACGTGAGTCACAGAGGGTCTCCTTGCGCCCTGTTGCCTTATCTAACAAGTGTTGGGATGAAAATTTACCCGCATTGTTGCAGAATCTACGTTCGTACAAGGATTCTCAGTTGAGAAGCTTCTGGATTGCGGACAGCGTGAGCAAACAGTGTTACGAATGCGGCGAGAGATTCACGATGCTTCGACGGAAGCACCACTGCCGTGTGTGCGGGCAAATTTTCTGCTCCAAGTGCTGCTCCGATCATATACCGGGGAAGATCATGGGGTGCACAGGTATCACAAGTCTATCGAAACGTGTGCCTGTACGTGCGATTCCTTCACGTCACTCCTTTCTCGTTCGTTTTCCAGGAGATCTTAGAGTTTGCACGTACTGTTGCAAAGTGGTCCTTTCCTACCTGCAATCGTCGGACATGAGGAGCGATTTGTCGGCAGACTTGAAAGCTGTGCAGGAGGATCTTCAGGTGAAGTACGGAAATGACTCGCCGCTGCTGGCGCGAAAGCACGCTAACGAAACCATGGACGATGAAACGTCGACGTGTCGGAAGCCAAGCGTGGGATACATGGAGGAGAATTACGCGACCGGGTACGAGAATTAATCCACATGCGTCTATCAGCGTATACTCGATTTTTCTTTTTTTTTTTTTACAAATTACATTTGCATTTTACAGATCGAGCGGCAGCTACTTGACGTCGCAGGAGCGCTCGCTCGTGTTACAAAACTCGGCCTCTTTAAGGATGATCTGGGAGGAATTGTTCCGCTCTAGTCAGGCCATTCAGTTGCAGACGCATAGGATTCGATTGAAGAGCTATCATAATTGTTTTCTGGCGAACGAATTGGTGAATTGGATGATAGTTCAGAATAAGGCGGCCACTCGGTACATGTCCAATCCGGCGGCACTAGACTGCCACTTCTAATTGAGCTAATTGTCTCGAATTGGCATGCGTTTCTTTCTTTTCAGCGTGCAGGCGACTGCGATAGGCCAGGCGTTGCTAGAAGCGGGCTTCATCGAATCGGTCGTCGCTGATTACGTGTTCAGCGATTCGGCGACCGTGTTCAGGCCGGTGCCGTTGTCCTCCCTGCAAAACATGGACTTGTTGGCGGAAAAGCGAACGGCGTGCGACGCGCAGGAGCCAGCCTGGGTAAAAACTATTCCTCAACATGACTCGGCTACGGGTAATAATACGACAGGTTGAGATTCTCGACGACGAGACGAGCGATTGCTCAACAATGTCCGACCTGCTTACAGATTCTGAGAGCGAAACTCGACCGATGAGCTCGCACTCGCAAACCTTCGGTCGTTTACCGTCGTCCAGTTCGAGCTTTTATTTGGACCTGAATCTGGAGGCGTCCACTGTCACGTTAAAGAGACCAACCTCGGAGGATTTAACTGCGATTTCGGTCGACAGTAGCGACGGCATAATCGAGCAGAAGGAAATTAATCTCAAATCGCACGACTGCAATCTCAAGATGTGCGACGTTCTTTTGAGCGACACGCTTCAGGTGCACGAATTCAAGGAGAAAAACGGTTGGCACAGAGCGACTAATCTGAGAACGGCCTTTGGCGAATTGAGCGCGTACGAGTGTTTAACGTAAGTTTGTTTTTTTTCGGTACTTGGTAGTTAACGCAATTAATGATAACAGCAATAGAATAGAAACGGTAAATGTGACACTTGCTTGTATCTTGCAGATCTGCGTACAAAGCGCACGAAGACTCTCTTATTAAACAACTTCTCAGCAAGGAGGGCTTGTCGCAAACATGGTCGAATACGATTCTGTCTATTGCGCATCAGATAATCGATCAAGTTAGGCCAGATCTAAATCATGACGCGGACAATTTGGACATTCGACAGTACGTGCAATTCAAGAAATGCCCCGGTGACAGCAGAGACGACTGCGAGATCGTGTCCGGCATAATTTGCAGCAAGAATATTGCTCATCGCGGTATGAACGCCATGATCGCCCATCCGAAAATCTTATTGTTGCAATGCGGACTGATGTATCAGCGCGTAGAGGGCAAACTGATAAGCCTGGAGCCTGTAATGATGCAGGTACACAGTAAACTTTCGTAAACTGCACGTTATTGTTAAAAATAACGCTGCGATATTTTAATTTTTCCAACCAATTCCCAGGAGAGCGAGTATCTCGGGCACACGGTGGCGAGAATCACCGCTCTGGGCCCGGACGTGGTACTGGTACATCGATCCGTAGCCAGATTAGCTCAGGATAGACTGAGAGAATGCAACGTGACATTGGTGCTAAATGTGAAACTTAGCGTACTGAAGAGAGTCGCGCGATGTACGGGCGCTAGTATTGTAAACACCATAGACGCGCACATAAGCGCGAGATACATGCTTGGCACGTGCAAGAAATTCTATTTGAGAAACTTTCCAGACGAGCGGAGTAAGTGTACAATCATATGTGTATTGTATACGAAACGTGTATAAATATATATTTCATAATTTTAATTAACTATTTTTTTCCATCTTTCCCTCTCAGGAGGTGTCAAGACACTAATGTACTTCGAAGGCTGTGCAAATCCGCATTTAGGCGCAACGATTGTGTTGCGAGGCGGGTCACAATCCGAATTGAAGAAGGTGAAAAACATCACGTCGATGATGATCTTCGCAGCTTACTCGTGGCGTCTCGAAAAGTCATTTCTCATGGATGAGTTTGCTAAACCGCCGTCACCCAAGGACAATTCGTTTCTGGACGAGACATCGCAAAAGGATTCTTCGAATGGCGAGGAGACCGAGAAGCTCGAGAGCTGCGTTATCAATGAACAGACGCAGAATGAAAACGTCTACGACTCTGAGAGTATCTTGAGTGCAAATTCTTTAAAAGAGGTGTCGTCGATGTTAACAGAAGATTCTGATCCTTACGACACCTTAAAGTTGTTTAAGGCAAAGTTGAAACCATCTCTGCACGAGTCGAAGGATATCGCGCCAATATCTTGCGAGAACGATACGGTTCTACGTAACAGTGATAAATCTAAAGATTTGGTAGTAAATACCTTGGGCTCCGATTCCGACGTCACGGAGGAACGTAATGACTCGGTGAACCTATTCGCGAGCAAAGAGACGTGCGTCGAGCGGAAAACCGACGAACTCGTCGACAAGGCGAAGTTGAAAGACAGGATTTCCTCCGAGGAGAAACGAATCTATGGGGAGTCCATAAGCGATCGGAGCGATCCGTTACATCAATATTTAAACGAGGATGACGAGGATGTGTTCAATCGTACGAGTCCGAGCGGTCAGCGTCTGAGCGTCGCTGACTTTCCGCTCTTCAACAAATTCAAGAAGGCACTCGAGGACACGGTGCTGAGCGTGTCGCCGTATTTGAAATTTTCGATACCCTATCTGGAGACCGAACTCGGGAGGAATTGCGTGCTGAGGAGCTTCTTCCCGCGAGAGATCTATTACTCGGCGCAGTTTGTCGACAATGTCAAGGAGACCAGGACGAACAGCGTGGCCGTGAGCGAGCAGCTCGAGAACCGCGAGTGGATGAACGTCCAGCTGAAGTCGCAGCATCCGTTCGTCCAGGCTCGTCTGACCACGGACGTCGACGGTCGCGAGGTGCAGGGTCTACTGGCGAACTTCCGTGCGTGCGGCAACAGAATTTATCCGACGCATAACGTGCTGCTGGAAAGAACGCAGCAGCAATCACCGACGGCACTCGAGAGTAACGAGCAGCAGATACCTTCCTGGTCGGATTGTTTGGATCCCAGCAGCCACCAACGCCTGTCCGTCCTGTTCTGCAGCTTCTCGCACACTGGCAACGACACTCCGGCGTTCTGCGTGAACCCTTGGGTCGTAAACATGACGATGTACGGGCAGAACGACATCGCGCTCGGCCGCTTCTTAGAGCGTTACTGTTTGACGACGGAATACAAATGTCCGGCTCAAGATTGCCGCGCGCAAATCGCTCAGCACGTCAGGCGGTTCGCACACGACGGCGGCTGCTTGCATATCAGCCTCAGCGAGATGAGCTGCGAGCCGTTCGTGCAGGAAGACGCCGATCAGATCCTGATGTGGAGCAAGTGCGTCGCCTGTAAGAGCGTGTCGCCGGTGGTGCCGATGTCAGGCGACACGTGGTGCCTGTCGTTCGCCAAGTATCTCGAGCTACGCTTCTACGGCGGCGTCTACGCAAAACGTGGCATGGACGCGTGTCAGCATTCCCTGCACCACGATCACTACCAGTACTTTACGCGCAAGAACATGCTGGCCGTGTTCAAATTCACCAAGATCTCCCAGTGGGAGATCTCACTGCCGCCGCCGCTGATCAACATCATCTACGATCCGAAGCAGCACGTCAACGTGATTGAGGAGATGAAGAGCGTGACATTGAAGGGCGACGAGGTGTTCACGGCGATACGAGAGAAGCTGACGGGTCTGCAGACGGATTTGGAAGGGCTGAGCCTCGCCAAGCAGCAGCTGGCCAAGGATCAGCAGTATTTCAAGAACAAGATCGAGGAAATCCAATTAAAGTTAACGTCGCCGACGTTGGAAAACAAGAAGCTGGAGGGTAAAACGTCGGAGAGGCAGGTGCAAGGGTTCATGTTCAGAATCGAGGACGGCATCGTAATACTCAAGCGGCTCATCGCGGAGGCTGTGTTCACGTGGAACAACAAACTGTCGGAGATGTCGGCCAAGAAGAAGGACGAGCGGCCGCGCCGTTTCACCGAGCGATCCATGACAGTCGGCAGCAACAGCATAGTCGAGACCGACGGATACATCACAGAGGACACTGCGTCGGAGTCGCAGGTCGAAGACCTGAGCCCCATGTCAGCCGATTACAACGCCATCGACGTGATCGCCGCGGCGCAGAGTGACTTCCAAGCGTCCGAACTGATCGACAACTCTGACAACGAGCCGCCGGAGGCCGCCAATAATCCCGACAACGTCGGCACCGTTCAGGGCTCGCCTAAGATGCATCAGAGGTCGCACTCCGACGTTCTGCCCCTGTCCTCCGACGACGTTCAGGATAAGAAGAAGAAGAAGAAGACGATCCTGTCGCAATTGCTACCGTCCGTTTCAGTGAACCATACGATATCGAGTCCCTTGGGGCCCTTGGAGCACTACTTGTTGCCTCTCGGGTATGTCGCACGATTTGTAATTTCACTCTGCGGCACTGTGGACTCTGTGAAATGAATATAAAATAGTTTGTACTTAATTTTTGCAGATCCGTGGTACCCATAGTGGTCTACGAGTCCGAGCTCTCGTCCATAATTGCATACGCCCTGGACTCACACGACTACAAGCACGCGTTGCAGGAGCTCTTGCGTACAGCGAAGGGGCCAGAATTGAATCCCAGTCCATTGAGCAAACGCAAGTTTCCCGAGGGCAGGGACAGCACCCTCGACCAGGTGCAACTGGGCGAGTTCAAGCGGCCGTCCGTGCTGTCTTTCTTCCGAGGCAACAGTCCCAATCCAGCCAGTAGTCCTATCGAATCCGACAAGAACGTGTCGAGCACGGAAACCAGCGGCAGTGGCGCCGCTGGCCTCGACGTCGACGACGACAAGAAAGCGATCAAGCAGCAGAACTATATCGAGGTGCAGTTTAACGACGCCACGACCAATTTCTTCTGCAGGATATACTTTGCCGCGCAGTTCGCCGCGCTGAGAGAGAACGTTCTGCCCTGCGGCGAGGACGGCTTCACGAGGAGCCTGAGTCGGACCGTACAATGGACGGCGAGAGGCGGGAAGAGCGGCAGTACCTTCTGCAAGAGCAGAGGTATGATGTCGTGCGCTTCGTTTAGTTATACATCCCGCAAACTGCATTTCAACCTGCATCCATCGTAGTTAGTCTGCGATAAGATAAAGGAAAAAATATGCATTCTACAAAAGAGTCTTTGATGGCCCTTTAACGGATTACAGCGCATTATCGAGATTTTCCCTTTGCAGATGATAGATTCATCATAAAAGAGATGTCTCGACTAGACATGCAGATCTTCCTCGATTTTGCGCCCAACTATTTCGCCTACATGGAAAGGTGTCAGCAGAGCAAGCAACCGACATTGCTAGGCAAGATAGTCGGTGTCTACAGAGTGTCGTTCAAAAACAACACGACCAACGCGGCGCTTCGTACTAGCGTGCTAGTAATGGAGAATCTCTTTTATAATCGAATCATAACCGACAAATTCGACCTGAAGGGATCCGTGCGGAATCGACTGGTGAATCTGGACGACACGTGCCACGAGGGCGAACTGGTCTTACTGGACGAGAATTTGTTGAACAGTACGTATCCTCCGAGTACCCACGAGTGAGTATCGCTCGTAGAATTGATAGCATTCGCATTTCAGTGAGCTGTGACTCCCCTCTGTACATACGATCGCATTCCAAGACAGTATTAAACCGAGCCATCGAACAGGACACCAAATTCTTAGCCGATAACTCTGTAATGGACTATTCTCTATTGGTAGGCTTGGAACCGAGCTCCGACGAACTCGTACTCGGTATAATAGGTAAGAATGACCGGCAATATACCGTCGTCTCGCCGACTGGCGTCGATCTCACTCGTTATCTCTCGCAATTCTCCTAGATTATATAAGAACGTTCACGTGGGACAAGAAACTGGAGACAATGGTGAAGAAATCCGGTATACTGGGTGGCCAAGGTAAATTGCCGACCATAATATCGCCGGAGGAATACCGCGCTAGGTTTATAGCCGCGATGCATCGCTACTTCCTGCCGGTGCCGGACCGATGGTCGGGTCTGGGTAAAAGTGTCGAGATACCGCCGCAGTAAATGTAACGTTTAGCGAAAAGCTAAAAAGCTACGAAACGCTATTTTATATACGCAGCCATTGCACAATCGGTGTAGATCTTTTCGTTTTTGCGCGTTGGCAAAAATACGAGCACGTCGTCTACCTTCGTCGTGTATATTTGTATATTTTATACCGTGATAACACACTCGAGAAATCATCACTGGAAAGTGATATCGATAGTTACCAGTTTTAAGTAACTTATTAATTGCTACGTAACGTTAATCGATATTTTAACTTCTCGCGCGGAAAATCATCTTCGACGGCTGCTCCGTAAGAGATTACGTGTACGGTGTACATATCTTACATCACATGCATCAAGCGACTGTACATAATCTAGTCATCTTTCTAACATACTTTAAGAGAATGCTAGAGTGATTTTGCACTTTTGACACCTTTTGCTCCTAGAACTGTCAATTGATGAAAACATTTGTCTAACATACAAATGTTTTCACGAATTGACAGTTCTAAGAGCAAAAGATGCCAAAAGTGCAGAATCACTTCAGCATTCCCTTAAAAGCGATTGCTCGTTCTGAAACTTTAAAGTACAAAGATACCAATGGAACTAGAGTACGAATAAAGAGATGAAGAAGCACCATTATCAATATTTTATTTAATTTTTCAGAATTATGTACATGACCATTATCTGTCTTTGTAATAGTCAAATAAACAATAATCATCATAATTTCAACATAGCAAAACACTCTCGTTCTTCGTCGATAGTTTTGTATCATCTTTGAATACAGCCTAGACAGCCAGTACACAAACGTAAGGAAGATATTAAAGCGTGTACCTTATTGGAAAAAATATCTTGTACTTTGCAAAGTACCTTTTCTTTTCTTACGACTAAATATCTACTATTTATTTACATAAACCCATTAACAAAGTTATACGACGCCTGGATACTATTGCGTGAAAGTTAAATTATCAAATTAAGCTTGGACTGAAAATTTTTATTCCGATCGAGACTACTTATGATTAACAAATAAAAAGGATCGAATATACCGTGTTGCGCAAAGACACTTTACTGTCACATATATCGAGAGATTATAAAGAATAAAGAATTCTCAGTTGTTTTACGTTGAGGATCCTATTTCCGCACTACAGCCGTATCAAATTATGACGTTAACACACACAGCCAGAAGTCATGCGAATATTTTTCCTGTAATACAATAGACTAGTCCTACGTGTACCTTTGACATTATCGATTAATTAAATATTTTAAACACATTCGTATTACATTTATGCAATAATGTAAAATAGTAAACGAAAGAAAATTTTTGAAGTATATTTGATCAATCTATAATATTTAATGTGAATAATAGCACACAAAAGAATTAATGTATTATTTAATGTAACGAAAGGAAAAAATTCACACGATTTTTCCACTTCCAATATCATAATTCAATGAGGTTGCAGCGAAGGAGAAACAGGAGCCTCAAACTAGAAACAGACTTCTAAAAAGCTGTGAGAAACTAAATTCGCTGCTACATCGAATAAATAGAGTCTTAATGGAAACAAATATGTATCTATAGTACATACGAATAATCGTCCATGTATGTTACGAGAAATATAATGAAAGATACAGAGTTCCATATATTCGGATATTGATATACTATGATATCAGAATTGTATTGCCAGCTGCCATACAAGAGCGTTCTTTTGTTGAAACTTCGTCAAGTCTAAGTGCTGCGTAAAACCAGGCAGTAATCTCTAGTATATTCGCGAGTAGCCGAAACAATCGAATCAAGAATTCCTCACCGGGCATACTGTGCTCCCCTGAATCAATCATCCTTCAGACTATTATACTCTTGTCGCTTCCTCGGTTTCATTTTACTTACTTTTTACATAGTTATTATTTATTATGTAAAACGAATGTCACATAACTCGGGATTACTCTTTTTACAAATTTTTACACGTTAGAGCTCCGTTTATTATACTTAGCCTCGTATATATAGGTATATATATGTATATATACGTATATATATACGCATATATATATTTATATATTTATACCATCGAAATATCTTATGGAAATGGCACGCGTCGCGCGAGTAGCGCGTGCCGCAAGCATCACTAGTTTAAGATAACAGCGAAAAGATCCGTAATAAAACACTCGAGTTCGGTTAAATGAATGGGTCTGCGGAGAGGGGACATTGTGCAGTAGCGATTCGTCTTCCGTCTACATTAAGGACTACGTACGTTTTTCCCGTCGTCTTCCGCGAAAGGGTGCGATAAAGTAAAGTTTTCAAGTTAACCGAGAGGAAACTGTACCCTCGCAACTCTTTTGTACTGTGGTGTGGAAGTGATGGCGGAAATTCATCCTCTAGGTCTAACGGTGGTGTACGGTGAATCTGAGAAACAGTCACGTGTCTATAGCTTCTAGGGAGATTAGGAAGTCAGATTGGAGCCGCTCTCTCACAACTGCGATTGATCCAAATTGTCGATGTCTTGGACCGTTTTGGACCGCCTACTGAGGTGATCTCGACGTGTCAGAGAGGAAAAAAGAAGGCTCTTCGATATGACTCTTTCGTCTCTCCTTCCTCGCTCGCGTTTCGTATTGGCCATATACGTATATACGAGTATATACATATACAGCGGACTACTTCTACGCTAGACGTCTCGAGGAACCCGAGAAGATCCAACGATCGAAATACGCGTCGCTCTCTCATCATTATCATTGGGGGAATCAACGCCCGGACTTTTTCGCGCGTTCGCACGTCGCTTATTGTACGTGAATAACGTAATCTAGCGATCCAGTTCCAATCTGCAGAAGAGGTCCTCGCGCGGCTGCGATCTCGCGAATCCCGCGAATTTCTCCTCGTTCTCTTCCAACGGAAGGACGCGCTTTCTCAGAAGACACGGGGGGGAGCGCTCCTCTCCTTTCCCGTATATACGTTTCTTCACTTCCCTCTTCCTTCCTTCTCACTCTTCCATGCTTAGAGCACACTACTTTGTTCTCCAAAAAACGTTGTCGCGCGGTGTCCACGCGACGACGCTTCGTGCCTCGCGCATACGCCAATTAGCACAGTCATTTTTATCTCTGCGGCTCGCCCAGGCCGAATTGTGTCTGTTGCGATTGCGTCTGTTGCTGTGTCGTGTTGCCGGACGCGCTACACCGGCCACCGGCGGCGTGGTGCTGCACGATGCCCGCCATCGGTGTCGCGCCCGCCTGAAATCCATTCTGGCTCGGAGACATCCCTGCAACACGTTCAATAAAATAATCTCTGAATATCGTTAAGTGCCCTACGACTGATACGGCATGTTTTTTCTTAATTCTAGAACGGTGCACATATTTTACCCTTATTACGGTTCACATGGGTACGCGGTACCCAGCTGACATAACATGCTGTAACTCTAGCTTGCAATTTTTGATTTTCTTTGATAACCACGCGGAGAGGATTTTCTTTCAAAATTTGCCCTGAAAATCGTATAATCGTGGGACAACATTGGCAGTTTGAAGAACTTTATGAGTTTTTTTTTCAATTTTACCATACATTTTACTAGTAAAAGAGTATGCTACTAGTAAAATGTATGCTAAGTATAATTACTAGTAAAAAGTATGATAAAATTTCAAAAAACTCATAAGATTCTTCGCAATGCCATGTTGTTCCGCGATTACATGGTTTTCGGGATTTTAAATTTTAGGAGAAAATTCTCTCCGCGTGCAGTGAATTGAATGCACCAGACTGTAAGTATACGCGTTTAGAAATCGAGACAAGGTGAATTGAATAATTAGTTAACGAACTACGACCTGTAGAAGAGGCGTGTTGAAAAAGTCGAAAAATCTCTGAGAAAATAGAAGTGCTCTACGTGTGACCCGGTGTTACCGTTCTAGGGTTAATTGCATATCACATAAATATAATATTAGTTCAGCCTAATGTTTCACCGGTGGCATTTTCGGAAGAGATACTGTCGAAATAGGCAAATAAAAAATGCCACGTAAAAATGCAATTGATTCAACCGATAACGAGCTGTTGCGAAGCCTCGTTAAATCGATTATAGCGTAAAAGTATTATCTATAATTTTATGCGCCGTGTGTAAAACGAAAAACATTGGAAAAATTAAATTACACGTGGAGAATGCGCGCGGAAAATAACGCTCGCTAAAATATACAGCGTGTATAAAATTATAAATAGAACTCCGTTCTGAAATTTTACGCGAATTACGGGTCGTTCAAAATGGGCTCACGAGACAGTTTACACGACGTTTTAATTGCTAGCACACGTTGGAGCAATAGCCGCCATAACTTACCCGATGGAGTTTTTTCGCCTGCAGACATTTTGGAAAACGCCAGCAACGCGTCCGGGAAATTCGGCGGGGTGGCTGGCGTGTTGCATGGTGTTATCTGCAAATACCAGAACAGTCGTCTCTTTAGAAATGTTTAAAGTCATCGATGAAAATTTGAATTACCCCGGAATAAATTTCTTTGATCGTATTTTACCTTTGCTTTAGAAAATGAGAAAACTCTGTTAAATTTTCCTTAAAACAGTTTAGAAGAAAACTTTATAAAAATCTAAAAATTTCATGATTTATGTACTTTGATGTTGAAATTTTGTTTTCTAAACTGTTTTAAAGAAAATTTAACACAGTTTTCTCATTTTCTAGAGCAAAGATAAAATACGATCAGTGACATTTATTCCGCACAGGTAATTAAATTTTTCTAGATATAGCATATATATATATATATATAGTATTCGTAAATAAAAATCGAGGAGATAATTTCGATCTTCAAATAGCAGGTTCTATAGTTAAAATACTCAAGTGGGAAAGTGTGAAGCGTTTACTCAAAATTGGAAATAGGATAAAAACTGACGTAAGCACCCGTGTATTTTAGTGGAAGGTCGAACACAAGAAAATCTATCGGACATACGTAAAAGACCATTAGCTAACAGGGTCGTTGAACCTTTCGCTCCTGCACGTGACGACGGTCAGGTATCAAGATATGGATATACGATGGCGAAACAATACACGGGGACATGTGTATTAGCACGGCAACGACCGGCTGCGATAATTCACCACCGATAAGCGGCTATTAAATAACCGCCATCGACCATGTTCTCTCACAAAGTTGAGAGCCTTGTTGCTTTTGTATTTTCAATATGTTTCATGAATGAGCTACGTAATTGCTCGAGATAAGTTTATCTCGGTTACATGGATCTCTCGATGACCCACGACTGTACTTAAATTTCAGCAACAAAATATTACGAAAGAGATGATTCGCGAAACGTGTGACTCTTCTCGTTTTGTGCCTTTTACCTAATTAAACGCCCCCGCTCTTATCTTCCGTCAGAGAAGCTTCCGCTCTTTGACTTTCTTTTTGTACGATCCAATGATTATTTTACGGATAGATCGAAAGGCTGGCATTTTCCGATCGTTGGCACGATTTGTACGCGGAATCGCCAACACAGGAATGATTTACGTTTCTTTCTACAAAACCTAATTTACAATGTGCTCTTTGCATCTAGAAACATTCTATTTTATATAAACAAATCAAAACGCTTAAAAAATTATTCGATAATCTACGATTGTACAATGTGGCTTGCACAAATTTTTTAAACATACTTATTGATTACAAAATAAAAAGTTTCTAGACGCAGAGAGCATATTGTAGATTAGGCTTCAAGGTGAGAAACAATCCAAGTATCGAGCGATCACTCAACATTTATAATACACAAAAGCAGAAACTCGTCTGTAAAGTAACATTTCGCGTAATTATGCGGAGAACGGGTCTCGTCCTTGGACAGATGAAACAATATATGCAAATTACAGCTCGAGCGAAGATAATGCGGGACAGCCACGTGAGGTGAGAGGAAATCGGAAGGCAGCGTGCAAATCATGCCGCGGTTTCGTCCAGTCCCGCGGATGAGATTTGGCACACGACTGATTGGAATGTGCCGTCGTCGTCGTCGTCGTCGTCGTCGCCGAGACCGAGGATGATATTCATAGTCAGATCTTATACTTAAGCTCATCTTTAGATACTTCGTATAGCCAATGAAATACAGCATCTTAAGATAAACTTAAGACGAACTTCAACATAATGCGTAAGAATAATAGACTGTAATTGATCAATTCAGACGCATAAAAATTGACCAATCATAGTCGACTATTCTTAAGGCCTGCGTCCACGAAGCTAGAGCTTAGCCCAAGTTTTACGACTGTGACTCTGAGATTCACCTTGTAGACCCCGCGTAAGATCTGACTGATCGAGGGGTAAACCGTTGAGAGCATTGTAGTGTACAGATTTGCGGCATTACTAGACGTTACTAAGCATTTTCTGGGCATTAGGGTCTGTGCTCGCGATGCTGGGAACTTGATCCAAGTTCTAGCGTCGTGAACGCAGGCCTTAAGAATAGTCGACTATGATTGGTCAATTTTTATGTGTCTGACTGAATTGACCAATTACAGTCGATTATTCTTACGACTGCTACTATGAGACTCACATTCTAGACCCCACATAAGATCCGACCGAGGGGTAAACCGTTGAAGGCATTGCAGTGTACAGATTTGCGGCATTACTAGACATTACTAGGCATTTTTTGACATTAGGGTCTGTGTCCACGATGCTGGAACTTGGACCAAGTTTTAGCATCGTGGACACAGGCTTTTGGTGGGTGTCATTTGGTCTTGCTGGGGCGTTATAAAGAACTTAAAAAGATTAAAAAATGTAAAAGAATACAAAATAAGATAATAAGATAAAGTAATAATATCCACTGGGCATTACTGTCGAATTTTTATGCATTGACGTACGTGAGTTTGATCAGTGGTTTTACCCCTCGGATCTGACTATGAATACCGGCCCGAGAATAGTAATGCCGTTGCCAGCGGTTTTTCCTCAGTCTTCCATCTCGGCAGCGTCTCACCTTAGATCTCGGAGTTAATCGAGAAAGAGCTGCTCTTGACTCTTGCCGCACGAGGCCGCGCACTCGACTCAATTATTGACTTGTCAATTACGGCCGCGTTTGAGCAATTTCCAGATAAAACGTTATCGCGCCGTTATTTCCATTGTTACCGCGACATTGTCGCCGCGTTCAACCAGCGGAGCTGCAAATTGGATCTCTCGGACGTGGCCGGATGCTTACTTCAAGGCGCAATCGCGTCCCGAACTTCCCCTCCTGCTCAACCGTGACTCGAGAATTACTTGTATCGTGATTTTTGCGGGAGAAACGTTATTTAATAAGAGATCGTTTTTAACCGGGGTTTCCATTGTGCGCGCCTATTAACCCACAACGTCGGGTCGCTCACGACCCACGCTGCATTTTCTTCGCCTGCACGCGCGCGCACCGATACAATCTTAACTAAAAATAATTCCGGTAATATTAGTATCTCTCGTGTCTTCTTCCATTCTGATGTTTATACTTTTTTTTTCACTTAAATCTTTTTATTTACGTTTTACACGTGTTTCACATGCGGCTGCGGGATCAATGAAGGCTGTGCGGTGCACCGGACTTTGTAGGAGAATAAAAAGTAAATGGCAGGGAGGTTCTCTCGCGCGAATCTGCTCGGGTTACCAGAATAAACGACGTATCGGGTCGTGCCAAATGTAGCGTATCAAAATCCGTGTAGAAGACCGCGTTTGCTTTTTTTTCCCCTGGAGGGGGAGGGGCGGAGGGAGCGCGGAATAGAAATACAATGAAACTGTTCGTCATCGCGCGGTCATCTCGCGCAGCTAGGAAATCGCGCGGGACAAAGAAGCCCGCGAGAACGGGCGATTAATCAAAGAGCAGCTGCGAATCGTCGCGGAAGGGACGATAGTCAGCCTCGTTGAAGGTCAGACACGCGCTCGAATCGATTTTCCCGTCCGTGTGTTGTCCGCGCGTTAACGCGACGCGAGACGAGGACGAGGATTCGCGAATTGGCTACCCCCGGCCGTATCAGTCCCGTGTTCCCTCGCACGGTGATCTCTCGTGCTCGCTGCGAACCTACTTTTGAATAATCAATAAGACAGGAACACCAGCGGCCGCCGCGCCAGCCTACGCGCGACCCGCTCGCTGAATCCGACGTACTTCGAACGCGACCGCGCGCTCACTCTCTTATGTCACACGCAGGCCGGAGAGGAGACGGCGCTCGGATTGCGGGGTCTATTCGGCGGTAATCGAGCCCCATTAGAAAATTGGAGGGCTGAGAGGCGAATTGAATTACTTTTCGTCGAGTAAAGTCCTCTATTATGAGATAGCAGGTTTTCAGCACCCAAATTCAATCACAAATCTTTTTTCGCAACGATTCCAACAATGAACTTTCCACTGAACAGATTTCGCGCCAAGGGCAATTTAAATTCACGGTGGAATCAACTGTTGATGCCTATTAATTTTACAGAAACCCCGCTATCCCATATTAGGATCCTATCTCATAATAAGGGACTTTACTTCCGGATATAGAGGGCGTTTCCTAAGTAATGTCGAAAACTCCTGGAAGTGATTTCTTGGACGACTTTGAAGGAAAAAGTTCCTACGAACACGGGTCCGGAAACGCTTCTCTGCATAGAAACAATTTTTTCGCTACCGCAGCTAATCATTTGCTAAAAATATTTTAAAACACGGGCCAGGTATGGTCGTCTAAAAGCTTAATTATTGTTATTTATTACTGGCAACCTGAAGAGATTTCTATCTTTGAATTTACACCTACGACCGAAACGATGGTGACTTTCCTAAAGGAAAGTTTTTCCGTATCAATCTCTAGAAGATATGAATTCGGCCATTGCGTCCATGTTGGTGAGAAGAGGGGACGGGAACGGGGATACCGAGGGGGAAACCGCTGACCAAAATCTTGTACACCAATGCCCACTAATGCCCAGTGGGCATTACTTTATCTTATTATCTTTTTTTATCTTATTTATCTTGTTTTATCTTATTGTATCTTATTTTATCTTTATAATGCCCCAGCAAGACGTAATGCCCAAAAAATGCCCTAGTAATGCCCAGTAATGCCGCAAATCTGTACACCACAATGCCCTCAGCGGTTTCCCCCTCGGGGGATACTGAAAAATCGCGTGTCGACAGTTCTGTGTACTGCCGACAACCCGAATCGGCATGCGGTTTAAAGAAAAATAGACGCGAAGATATAATCTTTTGACTGTTTATTGCGACAAATATTGCCGCATGCGTCAGTGGTCGAATTGGTGAGACGCCCGCCTAGAGGGTAGGGAAGTCCAGGTTCAAACCCTGGCTGAGGTAGTTTCTCGCAATAAATTTTCTCTACTAAAACACGGGCCAGTCATGGTTGTCTAAAAGCTTAATTATTAAAAATATTTTGCTGCCATAAACTACACGGAGAGAATTTTTTCTTAAAAAATTAATAAAAATCATGAGGCTCTACTGTGGTTAACACAAATTCGAAGGAATGAGATCTAAAGAGCCGTGACAGGATGTTAGTGTCTAAATATTTCCTGTTTTAAATTTATTGCGAAAAATATTACCTCAGCCAGGTTATTTTTCTTTTCTTAAAATTTATCCTGAAAATCATGTAATTGTGGGACAACATGGCATTTCGAAGAACTGTATCAATTTTTTGAAATTGTACCATACATTCTACTAGTAAAACGTATGGTGTGTAAATGTTTCTGATACTATTTTTTGTAGGATGAATTTCGGATATCGTTTCGAGTAAATTAATTTAATATATATTAAACAACACAGTGCAAATCCTTGGCTTATAAGCACACGTGGGTCAGCGAAATCCGGAAAATTTCAGATCCTTGGCGTCTTAGAAAGCAGTTTTCGAGATCGACGATGCTATGTAAAAAAAAGAGTTACAATGCCAGCCATAAGGTTTGTTGTATGTTGAGGACTTACATAAAATTAAATCGACGATTTCTCCGAGTCTCCCGGGCTCAAGTGCGTAATTCGCGTCATATAAAATACACCGATAAATTTATTAACTGCTCTTGTTTCGTATTGACCGCGCGATGCGTGCCACGAAAATACACAATTATTGAAAAGCTATTAATATATACGGACGCTCGGAAAACACTGGCCGCTGAAATCAACGACAGTTTAGCGTAAGAAATAACTGGCATACGTGATCAATTGACATTTTACATTAACCGTACGTGGTTAACACATATTCTCCTTTTGAATTAACATAAAAAAATAAAAAATGCAAGTATATTACAAGCGTATATTTAATCACGCTCGTTTCTACGACCGGTGTCGTATTCTTCGCTTGTTCAGATTTCATATTACGGGGACAATTTTCGTGCAACGAGTCCAAGCTTCGTCTCGCACGTCCGCACTTTGAATGTTCGAAACCGACGACTCGTCGATGCGGAAATACTCATTGACCGCGCGGAGTGCACCGATGTGTGCACAGTGGTTCGCCTTTACATGGTTTTCTCATCACGTTAGAGGCGAGCGACGTCGTAGACTTACTTGGCCGAAGTGGGTGCCGGCTCCTTGCGCGCAGGAAGGTATCGCCGCCTCTTGGAAGAAAATACTGAGGGCGGTCTGCAACAGAGAAAGCGCACGGCCGTCAGAACACGAGCTTGATTAAATAATCCGGAAAAATGATAAGAAAGTTGGTCGCAAACTGACATTTCTGCTAATATACAGCAGGACCTTTGCTCGGACTTGAATTCTCTGAGCTCTTCCTGCGAAGGCGTCTTTGAGCGCTGAAATTTCCAGACAAAGTTGCAGCGTTCTTAGGCGCAACTTTAACATAAACCTGATTATTATCCGAGCTTCCACTCTCACATGATGGTGAAAGGGAAAGTTTCAAACTCACTTGAAGTAGCAAATACTAAAAAGAAATAGATAACTTCAAGTTCTTTCCAGGTATATAATAAATATCCCTCCTCTATTTCCAAGTTTAAAATAAAGCGGAGTAAAGTGAGCTCCATTGCTGCACTGAGAAAAAAATTATCGCTATTACTAAATATGTTTAGTTAGCAGTATTTTTTCTTCGCTTCAAATACATAATTTATCAAAAAGTATATATTTGAATTAACAAGTATTCGTTCGACAAACAGCATTTATTTCAATCGGGCTTTTTTTTAAACAGATAAAATTCATAAGGCTCTCACGTGACATCACAGATACGAAGTAATAAAAGATACAAGAGCCACGACGGATGTTAGTGTCCAAGTGATTTCAATTTATTATTTTTAATTAACACTTTTCTCAATGTAAAGCAGTGGAAAACAAACAGTTCGATTATCCGTCGGCAATCCCGAAGAAATTGTGAAACAACCGCTCTTCTTTCTCCCCAAGTCTCTTTCGGAAGATCTCGAAACCTTCCGCGAGCTTTAATACACCAGTTTTTTTTATCCGCAGTCTCTAGGCGCGTCAATCTCGCTCGAGTACAAGGGATAGACGCGCACAGCCGTCTCTATGATTAGGAACGACGTAATCGGCCCGAATAAGAACGGATATCATTGAAGCGGCCGTCGCGGCCTTTCGATCGTCCCGCAAGCTGCCTCGTCAGTATTTTCCGATACGCTTTATGGCATCGATATCCGATCCCCCGCGCATCGGATAACCATGCGTTCGCGCTCGCCCAGGAGTCGATAACGATATCCGATAATCGCTGATAACCGCTGTGACACGATGGCAGTTTCAACGGTCCGTCAGTCACCGGCTATTAACGTGTATGAATAATTATCAGTAAACAGCCCCGCTCTCTCTCTCGCCACCTGGCAGCCTGGCTCACGCCTCGCGATAATGATTGAATAACAATTTATTAATTATACAAGTGTAACTCCATTAGAGCAACATTGCTCGGGTCGAGGCGGCAACCGCTTGCCGAGAGCTCGTTATTGCAAGGCGAACGCGTTACGCAATACACCATGACATTCAACCACCGGCCGTTTTAATTAAAGCGCCGGTGATACTCGATACTCTCTCTCGGACACATCGGGAGACGGGGAGGGGGAGGCATTAGCATAAGAATGTAATAGGCCAACGTGTGGCGAGAAACGCGTTTCATATTTCGGTCAGAGCCGCCGTGTTGTAGCGAAAGCGATAAACGCGCGAATGTGGACCGACCGTGTGTGTCTGTGTGGTATTGCCTTCTTTTTTTTTTAAATATTTTCTTCGATGTCGTAAATACAAAACAAAAACACGTTCGACGGGAGGAACAGCGAGGGAAGGGCGGGTTGAATAAAAGATTTACTTGCAAATTTAAGGAGAGAGGGATTTGGAGTACTCGCAAGTCGATAAACAAATCTGACTGAATAAGTAAAACTGGCTTCGTTAGCTTCGTTTCGGAGAACACCGCGTGCGTTAACCGAGCGAGTTACATAATTAACGCGACAAATGTCTAATTTACGACTACGATTATCGCCGTAATTGCATATCGCGATCGCATAATAAAATTCGCAACGCGCGCGCAACGCGATGGACGTCTGACATTTGCTCGGAGGAAGATTATAGTCGAGTTTTTGCCCGCCAAGCGGTCTCTTTGATATTGCATAATTGTAACTTACAGATACCCGCGCTTTGTTTACATAGCGGGTTTTATTTAATCGAGGAGACGCAACGGCGCAACGGGGGAGGACAAAACACGGCCGGGCTTTAACGAGAAGTAAATACAAAGTTCGACGACGAGCGGCTTCGGGGGCACAGCGCGATTGCGCTTTAACGCGCCGCACCGCTCGAGCGGAGAAAGTTCTCGGAACGGGGAGGAATTCGCTGGACAACATTCGCGTTATTATCTACAACTGCCTCGCGGTCCGTTTCGCGACGTCGATCGAAATACAACTGCCAACAGGTTTAGACATCGAGCGAGCGGGCGATTCCAACGTGCCGGACAATTCCAGATCGTTGGAAGCTAATAGCGAATTCGATCGCTTGCACTAGTGCGCACTGAGTGCACACCAGGGCTTGTTTACAGTCAATTCTTATATTTAAGGATCGTCTTAAATATCTCTTGATATATTTAACAAGTAAAATTATCTGCATAGCATCCATACGGATTATTTTTTCGCTAAATACTCTTTGCACGTGTATTTAAAGAGGGATGCTGAAGTGATTCTGCACTTTTGTACCTTTTGCACTTAAAACTGTCTGTTTCGTGGAAACATTTGTGTAATATACAAATTAAATGGCTTACGTGTACAGATCGAAAGCGGCTTGCTATTCCGGCTAAATTAAAGAACAGTATGGCATCACTGAAACTAAGTTTTAAGTCTAATAATAAATAACAGCGAGCAACACACATACTACATGTACTGTATGTGTGTGTGTTGCTCACTATTATTAGTTATTAGACTTACGAACTTAGTTTCAGTGATGCCATATTGTTCTTTCATTTTGCCGGAATAGCAAGCCGCTCTCGATCTGTACACATAAGCCACACAATTTGTATATTACACAAGTGTTTCCGCGAACTGATAGTTTCTAGATTAGAAAGGTGCAAAAGTGCAGAATCACTCCAGCATCCCCTGAAGACAAAGTAAAAATTGACTATAAACAGGCCTTAGTGCGCACTCGGTGCGCACCAGTGCAAGCAATCGAATTCGCTATAAATACAGGTGTGACATTTTGATGTTATTTTTTGCGCTTTACTTTGCCAGATGTTGCGTTATTTTGATGTTATTTTTTGGCATCCTTTGCGTTTTGTTTTTCCGGATTTTGCATTATTTTGATAATGTTTTTGATAATGCCGTGGTCAGAGGTGGGCCGGGCTTCAATAAGACGACTTAGCCCCGGTTTCGCCAACGTCGCTTAACTTTAAACTTAGTTTAATTCGTTCTTTGTCTCTTTCCAACTGTTACTTTAGAAAGAGGCAAAGAACGAATTAAGCTAAGCTTAAAGCTAAACAACATTGGTGAAACCAGGCCTTAATGTTTTGATAGAATCATTTACGACATTTATTAAGGCTAAACATATATTTAAAAAATATAACAAAACATAACATAACATATTCAAATAGCATGGAACAAATTACTGAAATTACATATCATTTTCAGGCTATAAAAGCAGTAACATTTTGCATTATTTTACGTGTTGAGAATCATTTTGGATTATTTTGCGATTTAAAAACGTGTTAAAACGAAGTTGGAGACTCCAAAATGTAAAGAAATGACATTAAAAACGTTCCTGGGGCATTTTGAGATATTTTGCGTATAAAGATAACATCAAAATGTCATCTTTACACCTCTATGCTATAAATGATAGATGGACAAGAATAGAATAGATAGAAAGATAAATGACAAGGTTCGGTCGTCGCCGGTAAAATTAACGAGTGAAAAATTGTTAGACGAGCCAACTGGCAGATGGTTTATTCAATACAATCAATGCAACGACGCTTCGACCATCGGGATTGTAGTCTCATTCGAGCGATGTGTATTAATTCAGCTGATAAGCTTTCTATCGCATCGAGTCTATAAAGGCCTGTGTCCACGATGCTTGATCCAAGTTCTAGTTCCGAGAAATGTGTAGCCAATCAACCTGCAGCTTTTATGGAATAGTTGCATTTGTGCTTCGACTCCCGGCACCGACTTACGTCTTACGACGAAATCGTAAACGGTTACGACAGACTTCTGCTCAGGCCGTTGTAAACCCAGCCTAAGGGTGCTATTAAATTTGTCGTACAACAAATTTTTCAAGCGTGTCGATTGGCTGCGGAATAGAAAAGTTCTCGAGTGTCTAGAAATTTTCTAGCTTGTAGCCAATCCAACACGCCTAAAGAATTTGTCGTACGACAAATGTAATGCGGGGTCCACAACGCGAGTCGACTGCGATTGGTCAATTCTGTCACACACGTAAGAATTGACCAATCATAGTCTATTATTCCTACGACTACGACTCTGCGATCCGCATTGTAGACCCCGCATAATAGTACCCTAAGGCTAATAGTATGAGGAAAGTCCTCTATTATTAGAGAGGTTTCTAATATGAGATAGTGGCTTTCCAACGCCCGAATTCAATCACAAATCTTTTTTTTCGCAACGATTACACAATCCAACAATGAATTTTCCACTAAACAGATTTTGCTCCAAGGGCAACAAATTCATGGTGGAATCACCTGATGACGCCTATTAATTTAACAGAAACCCCACTATCTCATATTAGGATCCTATCTCATAACAGGGGACTTTTCTCGATTCTAAAACTGACGCACACGAAGACATGCCGACACTTGGCGAGATTTTACGAAAACCGAGGACGACAGACTTTTCACGGATTTGACCTTTTCTCTCGACGATCGGGATACAATGCGGCGCGATAATGGGACACTGTGTATACCGCGGTGCACCAAGCTGACGCGTACATACGCGCCGAGGCGAGGCCTAGACGAGGCGAGGCGAAGCGAGGCGAGGCGCGTATAAATACACATTGCCGCATTGTTTACGTTGTGGTCAAAGACACAGAAAGATTCCTCGAGCCATCTCTTATCGTGATGCATTAGCACGCTAGCGTGTCGCAATGTAATGTCTCGCTCTTTCTCTCTTTCTCTACCATTCCTGCGCTCTTTGCTCTAGCGGCATGTATTTAAAAGCGAGTTACGCGATGCTGAACGAGCGAATATGGAAACTTATTGCATGATTTATTCCGACATTTCAGCGCGAAAATGATGTAACGCGAGCGATTAAAGCCCGATCTACGATGCGCTCTTTGCGTCCAGAAACGTTCTATTTTATAGCCGATACATTAAAAAGAAACTTGTGCAAGGTGATAAATTGTACATTATGCATTGTATAATCGTATTATACAGGGTGAGTTTTTTATCTTGAGACAACGAAAAATCTCGAGAACTGCACATCAAATAAAAAAAAGTTTCAGACAAAAGTTGTATGGTTTCGAGGGGGCCATAAGACGGTACCATTGGTTTGACCTTGAAGAATTATTTCAAGGTCACATAAAGGTCACACCAATTTTTTAAAATGACATCCCCTATTTTTTATTACATATTCTTGTAGCTAACCTCGAGAGCTTTCCAAGACGCTATAATAAAGTACTTTTTATTAAGAACTTTTTGAGTTATTAAGGTTTGAAAGTTCCAATATTTTGACGTAAATTACAAAATATCTTGTAAAATATTCATTTTTTTATCATCTTACCTTAATACTTTTTTGAACAGAATAATGATACAAATCAACTGGTGTAAAGAAAACAAACTTTTAAAGAAAAAAAAATTTTTTTTATTGCTTGTTACAAAATTATTTGTTTTCTTTACACCAGTTAATTTGTATCATTATTCTGTTCAAAAAAGTATTAAGGGGATGTTGGAGTGATTCTGCAC